GCAATAAAAATCAAAATATCTCCCTCGTGTGCTCCTGTGCATGCATGCTTCACTATCTTGAATTCGATGTTGATGGTTAACTAATTAATAAGCTTTGAAATTAAATAGTTAGCCCAAATATATATATATATATATATATATATATATATATATATATATATATATGAATTTATTTAGTACTTGAAATATGAACTAAAGAAATGAAGTATTCATGTTGTATTTTTTCTCCCCATTTTATTTTTCTCTTTAATAAAAAAAAATTAAAAAATTATATCATTTTTTTTGTTTTCAATTAATATAGTTGAAATTATTTATAAATGGTAGATGTGATTTAATTAATTGAGAATAAATTTGAATAAATGAATTTAGAAAACCACATGGAAGCATATAAAACACAACCTAATTGAACTTAGCATGTGAAAAATACATATGGCCTCGCAAATATTTCACTTTTTGGTCTATTAAATATCCCATAGACAATGCCAGCACTCTCTACATCTTACTCACCAATTTTGTTCTATTTAACATTCATCACCCCGTTTTTTGTGTTTATTTCACTTTAATTCATTAAATGTGGTTGTCACTTTTATTTCACTTTTTAATTTATATAAATATTTAGGTGGCATTTTCAAAAGCTTTATTTAAAAATACAAGTTAGTGCTAATGTTGTGATTTAAGTTGATATCAAGTGGTTAATATTAAAAATTTGGATTGTTTGAAAAAAAATATATATATTGAAAATCAACTTAAATATAAAAGACAAGTTGATTGCTGCTTTTCAATTTTGCAAAAACTTAAAAACAGATTATGAGAGAAAAAAAAAAGTTCATAATCTATTTTAAAAAATCTCAACTGATTTCGTGATGGTAAGTTGGTGCAATGTCTTATAATCGAAAACTGAAAGTTGCAATATTTGAATTTCAACTGCAACAAAGATTGGTTTATTGTGGAGCAAGCCCAAGTCCACTAACAAAGTGTTTAGTTACCATAATTTATATTTCTCCATCAAAAATTTGTCGGGTCAGGTGATATGGCTCTTTTAGTGCAAATTGGAATTCTCCAAACTACTAGTGAGAAAGTAATTAACTTTTTAATTTTACAATAAAAAAAAAAAGAAAAAAAAATTAGATTTTAATCTTTGCTGAATAGACAGTTGGTTACGTGGCAGTAAACTCTTGGCCATTTGTTGCTGTCAGGAAAATATTGACAGAGATCGTAGACCTTCAGTCCACACTCTCCGGCCAGATGATTGAATCTGAGCCGTTGATTCCAATCTCTGTGGGTCCCACACCCCCTCTCCATTTTTGAATGACTAATGGGCCCACAGCAAAGCAGTTTCTGTTTTTCCAGTTATACACATCGTTTTGTCCCTACCAACCGTAGCACAATTCATTAATCATTATTTAATTATATTATTATACATCTCTTTCTTTCTCCCCTCTCTATAAATGTATACACACACACACACACAATTTATATAACTATGTTCTCACACAACAAATCTCATTAGTTCTTCTCTTTGCAATAAATAGTCTTGACTAGCTAGGTGTAGTGCAAAAGGCAACGAGTGTGAAGTATCACTGAGTCGACTCGACTCGGAAAAAGAAATTATCTACCTAAAAATGTACAGATGCTCCAGTTGTGAACCGGATCCCCGATATTGACTCTTATACTACTTGTAGAACTTCACGCGCGATTAGTATTCAGCACACAGAAACATCCACAATATTCGATTGCAGGCTGTTCATACTCGAGTCTCTCAGCAACAAGTGCAGGAGGCGCGCTCCCTCTCTCTTCCAGCTTTGTTTGAATTTTCCAATCTGACTCTGGAAATTCCCCTTTAGAATAAGCTATTAAGGTTAGGAATCGACGAATAGGTTATGGATAAGATTTACACAGTCAATTTTATTTATATGACGAATTAACTAGAGGGGCGGGAATAAAATATCACTTGGATTGAGAAAAAAAAAAAAGGTATAAATGAAACCGTAACTAATTCACATGGGAGTATGTATTAACTATTAACTATCCAATTCAATAAATACGTGTGTTAGATGGGTTTAATGACGTGGAATAAAATAAAACACTAATTTTAGAATAAATGATTAATGATGGTAGACTTTATTGACGTGGACACATTAGCATATACCTTTTTGCCACTATAAAGAACCCAATTCATGGCTCTCCAAAATCGTGTACAATTAATTCATTTCTATAGTGAGAGAGTGTGGGGGTGATTTCCCAATTACGTACAACTCTCACATATACATTCACACTTCAAAAATTTCAGTTCCCAATAAAAAAAAAAAAAAAATCCATGAGGATCACAACTTTTAAATGTGTACGGCCATGCACCTCATCAAATCCCACACCCCACCACCAGCACCACCACCAGATTGGCGGCGCCACCAGCACAACCTATAAGCCCGCCAAATGCAAGAAAGCCCTCGCCCCCACCACGGTGAAAGCGCAAGCCCCCGCGATGAATCGGAAGATGATAAAAAACTCGATGAAGTTTGGCGAGAATTGGACGGACTACCAAGGGGGAAAGAATTGGGAAGGGTTGCTCGACCCCTTGGACGAGAATCTACGCTCGGAGATCATACGGTACGGCCACTTTGTCGAGGCGGCCTACCGCTCCTGCGACTTCGACCAGTCGTCCCCTTCCTATGCGACTTGCCGCTACACAAAGCGGAAGCTTCTTAAAGAAACGGGGTTTTCCGACACGGGCTATAGAGTCACCAAGTACCTGACGGCCACGTCAGGTATACAGCTCCCAGGGTGGGCCGAGCGCGGCCCACCCTGGATGGCTGTCCAATCCAGCTGGATCGGGTACGTCGCTGTCTGTCAGGATCGGGAGGAGATTTCTAGGCTCGGGAGGAGGGATGTTGTGATTGCGTTACGTGGCACGGCGACGGGGTTGGAATGGCTCGAAAATTTACGGGCAACTTTGACCCCGTTGTCTGGTTCGGATTCGGGTTCGGGTTCGGATACCGAGCCGATGGTGGAGAGTGGGTTCTTGAGTTTGTATACTTCGAGTGTGGGGAACCGGAGGAGTTTGCAGAGTATGGTGAGGGAGGAGATAGGGAGGGTTTTGGACAAGTACGGCGACGAGCCGCTGAGCTTCACCTTCACCGGCCACTCACTTGGGGCGGCGCTGGCCACGCTGGCGGCGTACGATATCAAGAGGAGCTTCGTCAACTCGCCGCTGGTGACGGTGATCTCCTTCGCCGGGCCGCGCGCGGGGAACTGGAGATTCCGGTGCGGCCTGGAGGAGCAGGGGACGAAGGTGCTGCGCATCGTCAACTCCGACGACGTCATTACGAAGGTGCCCGGGTTCGTCATCTTCTGCACCCACCCGGCGAAGGCGCCGCCGCCGCCGCCGTCCAGCAGCAGGAGTCCCGGGCGCGGCCCGGCGGCAGTTACACGGCGGCGGCGGCTGCCAGCTTCGCCGGGTGGGTGCAGAAGCTGGTGGAGGACACGCAGTGGGTGTACGCCGACGTAGGGTGCGAGCTGCGGCTGAGCAGCCGGGACTCGCCGGACCTGAACGGGATCAGCATTGCCACGTGTCACGAGCTGAAGACGTATCTCCACCTGGTTAATGGTTTTGTCGGGTCGAACTGCCCATTTAAAGCCACTGCGAGAAAAATGATGTGCACAAAGTGAAATTTTAAATTAGCTTAACTTAATTAATTAGTACTAACTAAAATCTCAATTTAATTAATTAATAAGTTAACCCCATTTTTTTAATTTAAATTCCAATTTCTCTCTTTTTTTCGGGCATTAACTGATGTAATTAGTGATGTAATTAGTGTAAAGAAAAAGATTAGTGAAATTCGAATAAATAATTCTATATTAGACTAGCTGAGTGCCCTATTGAAAAAAGGTAGTGGTTATTTGCCTGGTTTTTTTTAGGGTTATAGAAAATATGCAGCAACATAGAAATGTTATTGTACCAATTACCAAAAGTTGTAACCCATTATGTACATTATTTCATTTTGGACTTGTTTGTTTGGTAAGATAAATCAACAATTTATTAAATTTATATGATATTATATCATTTGATATAATGTTAATTAGGCCAATATTTTTTTTGGAACGTTTCAAAATTATTGATGATTGAGCTATTATTTAATTTATTAGAGAATTGTGCATATGAATATGAACCTCCACTATTTTGAAAATGAGACGAGGATATATTAAACACTACTCTTTTATCGAACTCGTGACCTTGGCTGGATAACACGTGTATGATCTCAGACGCTATCAGTTGTTTTAAAACCAATTGGTGTTCAGAAATGCGCAAATCCTAATTTTATAGTGCATTCAACAGGCACAAGTGTCCACGATATTTGATTGTGGGCCGTCCGTACCCGGACATTCCCCCTTTGGATAATTACTGCCAAACCCAAGCATATAACTTCTATTATAAATATTAGCGCCAAACTCTTATTTAGCAAACTACGTCCTAAAAATTTCACGATTTAATGCGTGCTAATAAAAATACATTATATTAGGGTCTTGTTCGTATTTATAATATGGGATTTTTTTTAGTAATTCAATAC